AGACTAAAGTGAACTACGTCGTGCAGGAGGCAGTTGTCGTGATCAAGGTGAGCATTTGCGCCTTTCGACTTATATGGAAAAACTGACTTAGTAATTAACCAAGCTTGTGGCATCGTCCTTTGCTTTTTTAGGATATCTTCCGCAAGTATCCGAACAAGTACGAAAGTATCATTTCAACGTTGTGCGAAAATCTGGATACCTTGGACGAACCTGAGGCTCGGTAAGTCCATTGGCAGCGTATAATTTAAAGTGTGTATTACCGTTCATCTAGAGTGGTAAACGATTTATCTCTGCGGACTATAACAAATTTGTTTTTTAGTCCAGATTGATGTTTTTGGTTTTTACCGCATTACTGTCAAAGCCACTGCATAGCCTTAGATATGCAGCCAGCAATGTTTAGGATTAGGTGTAGAGTTAGACTGACCAATAAACCATGGTATTACCTGGAAATGTGCCGCAAATCAGTTTCTTTCTTTACCCCTATGGTTTACTCTGTTGCGATATGGACGGGTTACCACTCTGGGCTGTAACACACATTACATAATGTAGTATACTGCATAGTTTTATATAACATATTCGGTATTCTTTGTGTTTCTTAGGGGGATTTCTCTTTATGTATATTTTATTGAACATTTTATCGACCTGTCAAACTACTCCTGACTAATATATGCATATGAGGAGCAGACCTGTAAGAAACATGAAAATCATCGATTTCGTGTCCCACATTGAATATTGTTAAGTTTTAATGTACAATATTTTATGTCGCAACCGGTCCGTAGTTCTTAGACAAGATAGGTTTCTTCTTGGGAAGAATCTACAGAGGCAGACATTGCCAGTGTACTTAATATTGTGCACCATTGTACTCTTCTGCTGCCTTTGTCGTTTCCGAATCATCAGTCTGTGTTATCTGAATTTTTTTCATCATCCGCTTCTTTCGTCAACAACCGTTTTTTTAACTCTTCCGCATGTGAAGTGTTTTTCCAGTCATAGGCTTTTTCCTGGTGATGCTGACATTCCCTTTGTTCACTGGTGGAAGGTAATGCTTCCGGCTCTCCATTAAGACGGCATGTCGTTTGACATTACTGCAAACTTACATCCGCCTACTTTGGTTTGGATAGTGCACGCTTCCTGTCCTTTCCACGAGGACTGTGTCAGCCCTCTATGGCCTCACACAGATGTGTGCCAATGCGCTTTCCTCTTTCTGACAGATGATAGCCAGCCGTTGCACTATATAAATGATTTCTCGAATATACGGCTTTATTTATGTAAAGCGTATGCAATCTTCATCTTCATCTTCCACCGCCGCTTCTCCTTTCGGGTCGCGGAGGCAGACGCGCCAGACAATACTTCCAACGTTCCCGACCCTGTGCCAGAGTCTGAACTTCGGCAAAAGACAAATGCAGTCTGGAACAGATTCCTTCCATATGTTTGCA